ACTATTAATGGAAAAAGTTCTTTCCCGCCCTTTAAGAAATATTTTTAATTTTAAAATGTTAAAATGCATTCTAAATGCCATTCCATGTTGATTTGGTCATATTTTCTGGATTCTTAGAGATGTAGACCCTCTCGGGATTCTTGCGGTTTCGTGAGCTCTGCTGACCGTAAACGAGCTTCACACATGAGCAACACAGTTCTGGGTTCCCGTCTAAGAATAGTAGCTCTTCTGGCAGCGTGTTTCTCTCAGACGCGGTTATCTGAATGAAAGTCTACAGTGCATGACTTCGGAAGGACAATCTGTGTGTGTTTGTGCGCGTGACTCAAGAAAACACGCATCTAGAGCTGCTAGCAAAAATGATGCAAATGAGTCCGATATGAATATGAGTCCTGACCCGTCAATGAGCTTTGTTATTGTAATCGGATGCATAAATGGCATTCAGTGGGAGAAGATAGTTCTGTGGGTCTGTGAAAGTGAAACAGAATCCGACGTATTTGTGGGCTGGCCGTGTCTATTGTTATCTCTCGGTTTAAACAAGGCCTGAGGCTCAGGACAGTGCATTAAAGACAGAGAAGAAGCTCTGCCTGTTACATAACCACACACACACACACACACACACACCAGCCGTGCATCATGAGAACACAAACGAGCCCTTAAGCCTACGTCCTATAAAACACTCTCACAGTTTTCTGGCTCTTTCGCTCCATCACTTATGTCAAGAACCTGTCCAGGTCATATTTCTATCCATAATCAAGTAAATATACATAAGAAAATTAAGTCTGTAGTGAAAATCCTTTACTTAATTTAGTGTTCCTGCTAAAAAAAAAAAAAAAAAACCTGGCCTTTTAAAAACGCTCTCATTATGCGTAAATCTTGGATTCAATCTCTGTCAATTTGTTTTCTTTCAATTAGCACAGGTTTTGAATTTCTTTTTGAAATGGATTGGTCATAGATCTAAGCTAATGCACCTCAGCTTTTCAGTGAAAAAGCATTATTTGTGGGTAATTTTGGCAATATTTTGGCAAAAACTGAGCTGCATCAACGAAGGCCTACCATCAAGTAGTTCCAAAAATAAATAACAAAACCTGCGCTAATTGAACATAAATTGACCAAAAGATTGAATACAATGTTTGGTAATAATTTAATAATTTATTAGCCATTGTTTGTATTAATTATTTATAGGCTGGTCATTTTTGACCAGGAACAGAACAAGTATAACAAGGTGGTATCTCAAAAAAAATAAAATGTAATCTGGATTATGAAATCAGATTCCAAAAATGAAGTACTTGTAATTAGAGTATATTACATTTTAAAATGCTCATAATCTGATTACCGTTACTTTTTATGGATTACATGATGACATATTATTTACACAATAGCAGTAAATTATTCATAATGGATGTCTGGACAAAAGACTTTGGGCTTGTAATGTCATTGTTGTTTTCATGTTTATTAATATTTGTTCATATAATGCAGGGATTCCCAAATGTTTTTGTCAGCTGAACCTCTTAAATAAATACTTGGAATATCTCTGAGGAAGTTCATATTTGAAATAATTGAACACATTCACACGTTTACAGTTCTCTGACGTCAGTTGATGGTCAAATTGATATGCACGTAAACAAGTAAAATATCTATATTTTTAGCTTTCAAGGATTTAAATTATTTTTATTGTACATTTTTAAGATTGAATTCATTATTAGCTTTTTATTAACTCACAAACCCACTGCAGTTCTTACAGTCAGCCCAGTTTGGCAAACCCTGGCGTAATATAATGTTTAATTAAAAAAAATGGAATTGTTTTATCAGGTAATCTGTAATCAGTAACTGACTACGATTTGTAAGTAATCTACCCAGCTCTGGTGGTGATATTAACTAACATTTTTGGGAAAAATAAAATCATAGTCAAAATGACCAGAACACAACATGAGAGTTAAAGAAGACAATGCTCTTTTTTTTTTTAAACTTATGTTTTTCCCTTCCAGATATAATCTATTTATATTCTTTCCAACTGTGTGTTGGTGACACGCTTGGTGTTTTATTATATTAGCTTCCTTTGATTGGCTGTTTCACATGCTGCTTCATGATTTAAGACGAAATTACTCAGTAACACGTCTTCTGTCATTTCCATTTAATGAGTGCATGCAAGTTCATGCTAGTGGCCGCTGGAAGCATCTCTATTTAGGTCAGAACTGTATTAATGCTGCTCACTATGGGCCAAATGCACTATGAATACAGAATGCTCTCTGATGTTTCATTTCTCATCTTTATCAGTATTACTTCCTGGTGATTTTCGGCCACGATGGGCAGAAACCTCTGGAGCTGCGGACAGAAGAGGATGCAGATTGTAATGAGTGGGTGGAGGCCATTCAACAGGCCAGGTACAATAAAAATACAGAACACTCAACATCTTTGAGAACATGATGAGGTTTTGCTGAGCCGGTTAGCCTGTCATGTGACAACCTTTCTGTAGGAAAGAAAAATCACTTGTTTCTTCTAGACAGCAATGCAAATGAAGACTTTTGCTGAAGGCTTTTCAGAAGAAAAAAGACCTCCGTAACCCCACACCAGGGTTATTATAATTAACGAAAACTAAAAAAAAAAAACATTTGCATTTCTTTCTTAGAATAACTGTCGAAAGAAAGAAAGAAGATTATTTTGTTTTATTTCAGCTAATTTATCAGTTTGGTTTAACCTGAAGTACTAAATAACTAAAACTAAACCATAAAAAAAAACAAAATTCTGTTGCTTGGGTTAGGTTAGGTTTTGGTTAACTGAAAAAATAAAATATAAAAAAAACCTTAAACTTATTTTATTTTAGCTAATTTCTTAATTTCATTTAGTTTAACTTGAAGTACTAAAATAAGAAATAAAATTAACAAAAACTATACAGACATATATTTTTTAAAAATGACAAAAATGACAAAAACACAACAAAATTACTAAAACTTTTAACTAAAATTAAAGTGAAAACACATCAATTAGATTTAAAACACATATACTGTATATAAATATATGTTAAACATTATATAGAAATGAAATCTTAAGAATATTAGCAAAATTCTATGTTTATAATCAAAAGTCAAAGATCTTGATATTAAACAATTGACCAAATTATCTGAGCTGCTATCCACATTAATTTATAACACTATACTCATACTGTAAGTCAAAATTTGTCTAATTTATGCCTGTTTTTAATCCTCCAAATGAATTTTGGGAGAAACATCTGAGACTAAGCTAATACTTAAACTAAAGATAACTTAAGAACTTCATAGTTTTTTTTTTCTGGATTGGGTTTCAAATAAAACCAAGACCATACAACCTATTAGCTATTATGTAGACATTATGCATGCACCACTGAATATGCTTCTTATTGCATTGTTTTCAATTGAAAATTGTATTGAAAAAAAAAGGTATGTTTTGACATTTACATCAGAGTTTTGCATGAGGTTAATATATCAGGACCTCAGTGGTGCCTTTACTAAACTGGCTTAGCAGCATGCAGTTTTGATGGATTTGTTATGAGGAAGGAAAGCAAGCACGATCGCACATTTCACACAGATCTTTCACTCTACATCACTGGTGAGTTACAGGTCAGTTATGATGGAGGAGAAAATAACGCAGAATGCAGATGGTAAAATACAACTCTCCATATACTGTAAGCATGCATATTTAGGATAGCAAAATAAATAGGCTTATACATTTTTTTAATTGAAAAGACTTCCTATAGGTTTGGTTTTGCATTGCAATTAAACACAGTATTTCACTGCATATTCAGTTGGTACAATCTAGTCAAATTAGACAGATGCAACATCTTCAAAGGCCATAGACAAGGTAAAATAAAATACGACCCAGGACTATATTAAATAAGGCTTTTGAGTGGCTCATTGATTTATTTAGCACTCAGAGTTTCTCTTTGTAAATGTTTCTAAGCAGCTTTGTCCTTCTGCTGTCGCTGGCAGTTATTCAGACCTCATCATCGAGCGGGAAGTTCTCATGCAGAAATACATCCATCTGGTGCAGATCACGGAGACGGAAAAGGTGGCGGCAAATCAGCTGCGGACGCAACTGGAAGACCAGGATACAGAGATCGAGAGACTGAAGGCAGAGGTCAGTTCATCTTCATCAGTTCTGTCAAGGGTTGCCAGGTCCCAGAACAATTTACACTCCAACACCCACCCATAAGGAATGAGAACAAGGCCAATTTTTCCAGCGTCCAATCACAGTTGACAGACGTTTTGATAAATGTTTAAATTTAATTTTAATTTAATCTGTTTTTATTTGGATGATTTTAACTACACTAGTTACTCCTCTTTAATTAAATTTTTTACATTTTTAAAGCATTTTGCATGATAAATTGCGTAAAATGTGAGCTATGAATAATAATAACACTGTCACAGCATCTTATACTTGCATAGCTATGCATACAATTCTGTCTGTAAGTCTCGCAATTTTTTTCCCTCAGAATTATGAGATATAAACCTGAAAACTCAAGAAAAGAAGTCAGAATTGTGAGATGAAAAAAATTGCATTTACCAGCCCAAAACCAACTCAACACTAACCGAAAATGAATATAAACTAGCCTTGTTTTTAAGCATCCGGTCACAGTCGACAGCTGCTGGATTCCTATAAATGAAAAATTGCATTTACCAGCCCAAAACCAACTCAACACTAACCGAAAATGAATATAAACTAGCCTTGTTTTTAAGCATCCGGTCACAGTCGACAGGTGCTGGATTCCTATAAATGGACGATATCCGGGTCTGGTACCATGGGTGCAGCAGGCGCAATGATATTACGCAGCGCCTGAAAATAGTCCCCAGCACGCTCCCTGTGCAAGCAGGTGGTCACGTTGGTTATGTTGACGGAAGGTAGCCTATTTTCAGGCAAAATCACAACTTTTCATTTTCCGTCGGTCTTAGTACACGATGTAACTACAGAAGTGTCAAGTTTTACATAGGAAAAATAACGAAACTCTTTGGTCATTTTTGAGTGAGATGCTAACGGTCTAATCCGATTCAATGATCTATGCTAAGCTAAGCTAAAAGGGCTACCCCCAGACCCGGAGATCGGCTGAATGGATTAGAAAACGGTAAAACTCAACTGTTTAACTCGAGGGGAGTTGGAAAATGAGCCTATTTTCAAAAATAGTGGAGTGTTCCTTTAAGTTTTTTTTTTACATTTCTTTTTGAATGAATTTTAGCTAGACTACTTTATATGTAGTATTTGCATATTTATTGTTTACTGTATTCTATACCTCTTAAGTTACTGAATATATATATATATATATATAATATACTGTACACTCATGCAACCTTTAGTTTGTGACGTGACAGCAAACATATGTCCACCGTCCCGCTCTTACTTGCTCTTTCAGTGGTCCTTAGGTTGCCAGGTATTAACAGGAAAGGATCAATACGCATTAGTAAAAGGATCTTCATATTTTTTGTCTACAAATCAACCTTTTTGGTGGCCTCAGTGCATTATAAAAGTAGTCCCTAAAAAATATAAATTTCCAGCAAAAGCATTTTCAATATTTTTTCAAGAGCCCAATTGTACAAGAAAACCTGGCAACCCATATTAACTGTGTTATCTGTGTTCTAGATTGTCGTTCTGAATAAAACAGAAGAGCGAATGTTGCCCTATCAGTCCAATCCAGAGGAAGAAGATCCAGATATCAAGAAAATCAAGAAGGTACATGATTGTCTACATTTGGATTGTATATTTGTTCACAATTGTGTCTAGTGTAAGTGCAGTCATTCGGGCGTCTCCGTGGCATGTTTTCTCGCAGGTGCAAAGCTTCATGCGTGGTTGGCTGTGCAGAAGGAAGTGGAAGATCATCGTACAGGACTACATCTGCTCACCTCACGCCGAGAGCATGAGAAAGAGAAACCAGATCGTCTTTAACATGGTGGAGGCCGAGACGGAGTACGTGCTCCAGCTCTCCATCCTGGTCAACTGCTTCCTGCGGCCGCTCAGGATGGCGGCCAGCTCCAAAAAACCCCCCATTACTCATGACGATGTCAGCAGCATCTTCCTCAATAGGTATAAATCACGTGGTCAACTTGAAGTGAATTGAATACTTGGAGGAATACTCTGGAAGCTACTGTGTAACTGCGACTTTTTATCTCAGCAACTGTTTATATATCACAGTTCTGAGTTTGTGTCTCACAACTCTGACTTGTTTTTCTGAATTGATGTCTTGCTATTGTGATTTTTTTGTTTCTACCACAAAATAAAAAAATTATAAGGTAATTGTGACTTTTTCTTGCAATTGCGAGATTTTATATTGCAGTTCTGAGTTTTTTTTATAATTTTATAATTATAAGTTTATATCTTGCAAATTCAATTCTGAATTTTGTCTTCGAATTGTAAGTTTAGATGTCAATTCAGTTTTTCTTTTTTCGTTTCCACCAAAAAAATTTCTCGCAATTCTGACTTTTTTTTAAATCTCACAATTTTGAGATTATATCTCAGAATTCGTACTTTTTTCTCCAAATGTATATTTCGCTCTTCTGTTATTTAGTTTCTACCACTGAATAAAAAATAAAAAAAGTACCTGGAACTTTGTTTCTCACAATTCTTGCTTTTCGTCTCAGAATTGCGAGTTTACATCTTGAACATTTTTCTCTGTAATTCGTTTTTTTCCATCACAGAATAAATAATGAAAAACAGTAATTGCAAAGTTTTTTTTCCACAATTTTTTATCTTTTTTACCGTGTGGAGACAAAATACTGAATTGCCAGATATGAACTCACAATTGATAAAAGTCAGAATTGTGAGAAGTCACAATTACTTTAGTTATGAATCACTTTTAGTTTTTTTATTCTATGATAGAAACAAGCTTTATACAGTATTTCAGATTCTTTTTTCTAATTTTGTCATGATGTTGATCAAGAAAAAATTACTTTTATTCTGACAAACGTTTAAAACATGCAACTATCATCTTTTTTTACAATATGCAACTATATGCAACTCTTTTTGAAAGTATAATATCTGTCTTTAAGTATCAGAAATTGATGTGCCATGCATTTCTCATTTTTTCTTTATTTGTAAGTGAGACGATAATGTTTCTCCATGAGATATTCCATCAAGGCTTGAAGGCTCGGATAGCCAACTGGCCGACTTTAGTGTTAGGTGAGTTTTATTTTATTTTTTTATTTTTGCACAAAAACATACATGCCAGACATGCAGTGAAATGCTTTTTTTACTGTCCACACATAGAGTAAAAATTCATAATGAATTCATAAAACATCATAATAACATCTAATAACCTACACAAGTCAGAATAGAAATGACCACTTACATATCATCATTTTGTCTAACAATGTTCACATAAACATGATGCAAAACCGTACTGTGACGTTTCAGCGGATCTCTTCGACATCTTGCTGCCGATGCTGAACATTTATCAGGAGTTTGTGCGGAACCATCAGTACAGTTTGCAGGTTCTGGCCAACTGTAAACAGAACCGGGACTTTGACAAGCTTCTGAAGCAGTATGAAGCCAACGCCGCCTGTGAGGACCGAATGCTGGAAACCTTCCTCACCTACCCCATGTTTCAGGTGAACCGCTGACCTCTGAGCTTTGAGCAATAGTAACACTAGCATACTGCATATTGCATTTCATTTAACTGTGCTCCATTGTGTAAAACGGAGTACTTTAATTGTTACTATTAGATCCCGCGGTACATCATCACCCTTCATGAGCTCCTCGCCCACACGCCTCATGAACATGTGGAGCGCAAGAGTCTGGAGTTTGCCAAATCCAAACTTGAGGAACTGTCCAAGTGAGTGAAAGCTAAAAAGGCTTAGAAATAAAGATTTTTCATGTTAAGAAGCATTTTTGGGGTGTTTCGGGCTCTTGAGATGCTATAAGGTTTTATAGGTTCTTCAGACCAGTATTTTGGCTATAAAGCACCAGAACATAGAAAGTATAACAAAGAACTAGAGAATTAAAAGTTGTTCATGCCGTTCTTTTATTGATTCAGACTGTAAAAACATTGTTTGTTCTAATTGGAACGTTTATTTTTAAGAGTGAAGATTTAAAATTTTATATTTATGGTTTCTGTTTACATCAGTTTCAATCAAAATGATAAAAAAACTAAAATAGAAATGTATTATAAAATAAAAATAATATTTTTTATATTTAATAATTTGTATTATTAATTTATTCATATTACAAAAATATAATGTGTATATATATACTGTGTGTGTATATATATATATATATATATATTTTTTTTTTTT